TGAAAGGTGTGAACAAAGCATTTTTAAAAAACGTGAGTAAGTACACAACATGTGCTCTGTCTAGGTAATTCTTTTCATTTCATTGGAGAAAATGTCACTTCCTCACTACAGGGATTTGTTGACTTAGATTCAACATTTTGCAACTATTATTTTTGTGTTCTTTTCAAGTTCATCTCACAGATGAAGTATTTTAAAGACACATACCAATTTAGAAGATCTGCCCGTGATAAATTTAAAACCTGACAAATCTGAAAGCTGGATAAGAGTTGCTTTTTCACAGTAGGTGACATATTCCTCTACTTCATGAGTCATACCATACTTTAATGTATAAATAAATAAGTAATTTATAAAGAATATTTCCAAAATATTTTTAAAGCAAGCAGTCCCACACAGCCGAAGGGAAAGACACTTTCACATTATCTCAGGCTTCTCTGCTTTATTCAAGAACATTATTAAGCTCCTGACAATGAAGAGCAGTTTGTACTGTGACAAATCCAGTGTTCCCCTATGTAACAGCACCACTTATTTATGAACAGCAACCGACACAGGGATAGCAGCTTGTTCCAAACGCTGGTTGCTGCTGCATGAATGGCTACCCTTAGGATACAGTGACATCTCACGCCACAATTATGGGCCTTTCCAAAAAGGCCCATGTTTTGTTGTTCTGTTTATTTTAAGGAAATCTGACTGAAAGAAATACCAATAAATTCCATAAAAGAAAAAAGTGAAAGAGTTGTTCCAACAGGCTGATTCTAACCACACTGGCATGTATCACCCAGTGCTGAATTTCAGAGCTCAATGTGGACTGCACATATGATAACCTTATGTCTTCCAGCACCAATTGCCAGCACTGTTTCCTCTCTCCCCAGAAAATCTCTATCTCACAGTAATGTATAGCCCACTAAATCCATAAACGCATGAGAGACAAGACCATACTATATCCCAGTCTTTTACAACCCAGAAGACCACTAAAAAAACAGGTTAATACTGTTGAGGTAGAAGACATAAATGAAATATTTAAACATCAAAATATCAAAATGTAGCAAATCTATCTATATCACTTGAGAAGTAAATTGATTTCCCCATTAAATTTCTCTCAGACTGTTTCCCCAAAAAAATATGTTCAGCTTCTTTCTTATTAGAAAAACAAAGACTTTAAATTGGTTTTGGGTATTTTGATTGCTGGAAACTAGATGAAGAGCATTTTACTCATTGATAAAGTAGGCTTTGCTCAGTTATCATACAGTAAATGTGATTTCTAAGGTTGCTTTTAGCTTATATACTTCAACTTGTTTTTATGGAAATAAGCCTAAAGCTATCTATTCTATTCTAAATTAAAAACAGATATTCTACTTGTAAGAGCATTTGTTCTAGTAAAGTAAGGCTTTAGGCAAATTTCTTCTAAATTCGTCTTGCCTTCTCATGACTCGTAAATAAAACTCAGCATTCCACAAAGAAAGAAAACAATAATTTATTATAACAAATCACATTTAAGAAAGTCCCTACCATTTTTTATGATTAATATTTAAATAAATACCCAAACTCAACCTATTGAATACCATATACAATATTAAACAGAAAAAAAATTTAACATACATAAAATTGCCTAACATTCTGGTAGGTAGAAATAATCCCATGTATTTCCAGTACTTAGTTATCACCAAACTAAAAAGCAGTATCACCAAAATTTTTCACCAGCCTAAACCCATCTTCAAAGTCTAAATAAAAATTCAGAGTTTGTATTTTTAAACTTTTTTAAACTTTTAAACTTAATTTGCTCTATCTTAATCACTTTATCCAAGAATATGTGAAAAGTTTGTTACAGTATCTTTCAAGAGAGAAAGAATGTTCAACTAATATTTATTGAGTGCCTATGTGTTAGTACCTGCTAAGCATTTTCTTTCGTCCACATAGTTAATGCTGTTCTCCAAAACAGTAGGTTTTGAAATGATCCTCTTCAGCTATATATTCTTACTTGGGCTATTTAGGTTTCATATTAAAAGACAAGAAATCATAATGAAATTTCCCTGTTCAAAAATCCTTAATGATTCTCTCAAACTCAGATTGATGTTTTTAATTCTTTATTTTTTTTTTCAATTACAGTTGATATACAATATTAGTTTCACGTAAACAATACAGTTAATAGACACTGAATACCTTATGAAGTGATCACCCTAGTAAGTCTAGTACCCATCTGACACCATATATAGTTATTACAATATTATTAGGTATGTTCTTTATGCTATACTTTATAGCCTTATGACTGTTTTTAAACTGGCAATTTGTACTTTTTATTCCCTTTCACCTTTTTTACCTATCCTCCCCAACCCTCCTCCCATCTGGCAACCATCGATTTGTTCTTTATATCTATATTTGTTTCTGTTTTGTTTATTTTGTTTTTTAGATTCCACATGTAAGTGAAATCATGTGGTATTGGTCTTTCTCTGACTGACTTATTTCACTTAGCATAATACCCTCTAGGTCCATCCATGTTGTTGTAGATGGCAAGATTTCATTCTATTTTATGGCTGACTAATATTCCATTGTATATATGTATCATATCTTCTTTATCCATTTGTCTATCAATGAACACTTAAGTTGCTTCCATACTTTGGCTATCGTAAATAATGCTGCAATGAACATAGGGGTACATATCTTTTCAAAGCAGTGTTTAGGATTTCTTTGGATAAATATTCAGAAGTAGAATTCCAGGGTCTTATGTTAGTTCTATTTTTAACTTTTTGAGGAACATCCATGCTATTTTCTACAGCGCCTGCATCAATTTACAATCCCACCAACAGTGCACAGGGGTTCCCTTTTCTCCACATCCTCACCAATACCCACAAATTAATTAACGTGATATACCACATAAACAAAGGAAAGATAAAAATCATACAATTATCTCAATAGATGTAGAAAAAGCATTTAACAAAACCAAACATCCATTTATGATAAAAACTCTAAGCAAAGTAGGGAAAAGGAAAAACCTCAACAAAATAAAGGCCACATATGACAAACCCACAGCTAACATAATACTTAATGAGGAAAAGGTGAAAGCTTTCCTTTAACTTTAGGAACAAGACAAGGATGTCCTCTTTCATCACTTTTATTCAACATAGTATTGAAAGTCGTAGCCACAGCAATCAGATAAGAAAAAGAAATAAAAAGCATCCAAACTGAAAAGCAAGAAGTAAAACTGTAATTATTTGCAGATGACATAATACTATACATAGAGAACCCTAAAAATTCCACCGAAAAAAAAAAAAAAACTACTAGAACTGATAAATGAATTCAGGAAAGCAGCAGGATACAAAATTAATATTAAGAAATTGGTTGCATTTTTATATATCAATAACAAACTATCAGAAAGAGAAATTTTTTGAAAATCCCATTTACAACTGCATCAAAAAGAATAAAACACCTAGAATAAATTTAATCCAGAAGGTAAAAGACCTGTACTCAGAAAACTGTAAGAAATTGAAGAAAGAAATTGAAGATGCAGCAAATAAATGGAAAGATATACCATGCTCGTAGATAGGAAGAATTAACATCACTAAAATGTCCATACTACTCAAAGCAATCTACAGATTTAATGCAATCCCTATCAAATATCAATGGCATGCATTACAAAACTAGATCAAGTTGATGTTTTAAGTCTCCTTTCACATGAGTCCAACTCACCTTTTCTCAAGTATATAATCCATTATTCCCATCCATAAGTCCTCATTCTGTTCATACTAGTCTATTCACCACCCCTTTATCTCTAAAATATATTTTTCTATATTGTATATGCTATCATTTTCATGAGAAAAAAACTCACTGCATAGCCGTCTGTGGGTGGTTAAAGTCTTCTAGTTCAGCCAGTTCAAATCACTAATCTTTGCTTAAAAGACATATCAACATGTTTTCTTCCAACAGTTGCACATGACTAAATCCCATAATAGAAATAAGATTATTTTCTAAGATATCTAAAATGATTCCTAAATTAGTAACACCTTAAAATCTGACATTTCAGTTTCGACAAAAAAAATCACCAATTCATCATGAACTACATTTTATCACAACTTAAATTTCATCCTAATTTATTGTATTTATTTTATTGAATAAGTATAATTTTAAAAATTAATCAGCTTTGTGATTTAGTTCTGTTTATAAACAAAGCATAAATTATTTAAATTGACATTAATATAGTTATTAAAAAGGAATACTAACAGAAGTTATATTTTGCATTGGATAAAAGCAATAAATTTCCTTGAAAAGCAGTGTAATCTAAATATTTTCATTCTAATCATATACAGAATAGCTAATGCTTTATAAAAGGAAAAATAAATTAAGCTTTTTTATTATCGTAATAAGGAATTTTATAGAGGAAGTGACTATAATAAGAAAAAGATCATCTATTTTGCAATGTGCCTTGTAATTTTATAACCCATTAATTTCATTTTGGAACATACTGTTTGAATTAGGGTTGAGTTCTAGTTATAGCTGACCCTTAAATATTCAATTAATATTTCCCATTTTATTTATCAGACTTCTCTGTTCATTGATTTATCATACTGGTGTTCTTATGAAAACCACATGAGGCTACATATGGAAAAATTAGACAAATATTTCTTCAAATCATATTTTTCAAAATAAAACTATAATTACCCACTTAAGAGCAATGAGATTTTGTTATAGAATATTTTAATGAAATTTAATAATTACGTCCGTTCATAATGAAGAAAACCATGGGTCAGAATATTGGTGGACCTGAAAAAACCCTAGGAGGGCATATATTTCCAAGAACCATTTTATTAATATAACAGTTTCCCTAGTCCAACTCAATATATATGTCCCCAGATGACCTCAGATACAAGTTCTGAAAGTTCAAAAAAGCTAAAACTTCATTTTACACAAAGAAAACAAAAGTAAACCCAGCTAAGTTTATCAATATAATGATAATAGAAAAATTACCTAACAGGGCTTGTCCTCAATTTCAAAACTCAAGATACATTTACCTTGAAAAGCAGCTGCATTTCGAGATATTAGAAACTTTAATGTAGAGCTGGATGTCTGAAGTGCCTGCTGCATATCTTCCCGAGCTACGATGTGATATCTCTCCTCCATCTTCCTGGTGCAACATGTAGGTTTTTCAGATATGCAAACCTGAAGATCGGATCCTGGAACACATATAATACTCTTCAGAATAATTACCTGTTTATTTAACAAACATTATATGTTACGTGTCACACATTCATGACCAGCACTATGCATCAGGGGTTTATGTTCTATGTGAGGAACTGATCTACTAGAGTATGTGCTTTAAGAAAATGTATCCACTGTCCATTCACTCAATCATGGCACAAAATACCCTCAACCACTAATTTTGCTCAAATACTATATTAACTTTGTGATCAAAAATCAAGTATGTCCACTCAACTTATTACTATTTACTAACAAATAGACTCTGTAATAGAAAGCAAATGAACTATTATGGAAGTACAGAGCTAAATCAGGAAACTTTATTTTTGTTTATTAATTTGGCCAAAATTTTTGAACTAAATGTTATAGAGAAATATATGGGCTAAAATTATTGCTTTTTTTGAGGAAATAAAATCAAATTTTGTACATCAAGTAAAGGTAAAAATTTCCACCTGATTTCTCAGTTCACCATTATGCTTGTGCTACTTGTGGAATAGCTCTAATCTGCAATAATGATCTGATGGAAAAATCAAGATCCCACCAAGGGCCCAAACCTAGGATCCAAAATGCTACTCATCACCTAGCTTGCTAGAGATAACTCCTACCATTAAAAGCACTTTTTAGTTTTATAATCATATTCAGAAAACTCCTATGAAGATGCATATTATATGAAATGTGAAGTTATTATGTATACGTAATTCTTTGTGGTTAAAAATAATTTTACTAATATAATTGACAACTCTCATCCTGATAGGTTCCAGGGCAAGCAACTTTTTACACAGCAAGGATGCTGGAGAGCAGAAGAAAAGGTGGGGAGCACAGAGGAGTGACTAAAGAAAATAACCCTGATGGGGCATCATGGGGACAGCCCCAGAGCATCCCAAGGTTACTCATGTTTTATGTAAAGCTCAGGACAACTGTATTTACATGACCTAATGTAATACAGTTATTCACTTATTTTAAGGTAAGAAGAGTCATGCCTCTTAATCTCCAGGGAGTTTCGCAGTTCCCACATTAGTTCTTCATTGACCAATTTTAGATCACCAAATATAAAATATGCATGCATATACATGTACACACATACACACATACACACACGCACAAACACACACACAAATACATGTACATAACAGCCACCTTTCAAAGTCTTCCTAGTTTTTCACATAGTCGGCCTCAGTCCTCATTTTCAAGAGTGGGTTCCAGGTAAGATCGAAATATCTGAAATCAGTCTGACCTTCCTGCTAGTATGGGACACCAAATTTTTTAGTAATTTTGGCTTTAGTTTGTTTAAGTTAGACAAATAACAAACAGCAGGATTTGAGCATTTCACAAATGCTAAAAAGTATAAAATATTTATATGTGTCACAGAAGGTAACATTTTGGCAACTATTTTTCATTTATCTTGCCTAAAGAAATACAAAAGCAAATTCCACTTCAAACAGTAAAACTGACTGAAAGAAAACAAAGTTATGTTTCTCAGCTTTTCTCCTAAATGGAAAGATTGAGGAATTAGAGTTCAGAGATGAACAATAATAAAAATTAAAGAACCAATAGATAAATATTAAAGTATATAAACATATTTAGGATGGGAAAG